TCGGGGCAACGCTTGTTCCCGCGGTTTCGTGCTGCTGAGGCTGCTGCTGCTGCTACTGCTGCTGCTGCTACTGTGTGTGGGCTAAGCCAACAGACACACACACACACCAACACACACACAGGAACAGGACCGTTGGAGATGCGCCGCGTTTGATCCCTGCCCCCACCGCTTTAATCAACCGCTGATGAGGATTGGGACGTGCCATCCAACCCGGAAGTTCGTCCTTTTATATGCCAGGAAAATAATCTGGAAATTTGTTTTTCAAATTGTTTTTGTAAAGGATTTATTCTGACCGCTATGGCAAATAATTTACCGCCAAATATTGATATTTAATTCGCTTACACGGTTGTCTACGGAATGTGGCGGGAGAGCGTCCCCTGCTGGTCGATTGAGCTCATCGTTATCAAAGTCAGCTCCTAACGACAGGGCCACACTTTGAATGATGGAAGCAAAGTGTATTATTAATAATAATGTTAATAATAATGTAATGTAATAATAATAGTATTATTAAATTAAATAAATAGTATTTTGTTTTGTAAACATTATTTTAATATATACACAGATTAGTAGCATCTGCATTTTATAGATCAATTAATTGATCACTTATCCCCAAAATTGATCTGCTGTTTAATCACTCCTGAAAAATAAAAATAAAATCCCCAAATTACGTTATATACTGTATATTGTCATAACTGTGGTTCGTTGTTCTTGACATCATTTTTTTCCTGGACGTGACTCAACAACTGAGCATAAATAGTTCAGTCAATGTTTGACCAGGAGTCTGTCGGAGGTTTTTGAAGCCCAAAATGTGTGGGACTGAAATCCTACACTGGTCGTCAGATTCATCCAAATGGCCATGGAATGCACTGTTAGACCTCTGAGCTGTGACCTTACCATATACAGTGCAAGAGCTAAATTTAACCATCTTTAGGTTTGTCACAGACAACCCTCAGACCTCCAACAATTGATCATTACATAACCCAAAAGTCCAAGTAAGGTCCAGGGCTGGTCACTGGGACGGAACCACTGGGACACCCACTAACTCACGTCTGTGGCTTTCTTCTCAGCCAGCTCCAGTTTCTCCTGGGCATCCTTCAGGGCCTCAGAGTACTTGTCCAACTCATCCTCAGTTGCCTTCAGTTTCTTCTGCAGTGCCACCAGGTCATCCTCAAGCTGGGCCACAGGAGAAACCACAGGAGAGTCGTATGAACAAGACAAAGTCGACACCAACATCAGTGTGTACATTTAACAACTGGAAAATATGTGAAAAATGATGTAAAATAATGTTATTATATCTATATGTAATAATACTCAAATAATAACACGTCTATGGATCTTCAGTATTATATTAAAATATTAATTTAAGGCTATTGTTAGACTCTTTTTTCGGACAGTGAATGTCATTTGTGGTTGTTGATGAATTATTTAAGCAAAGCTAAATTTAAACGATGACAAACATGTGGCTCCTCAGTGAGAACACACTGGACATGCAGGCAGGACGCAGCGCACTGTGCCATTGGCACCGTGCGTAAAAGCGCAGGAGCGGTGCCGACCTGTTTGCTCCTGTCCTCAGCTGCCTTCTTGTCTGACTCGGCCTGCTCAGCTCTATCCAAGGCGTTCTCCTTGTCGAGCTTGAGCATCTGCATCTTCTTCTTGATGGCATCCATGGCTGCTTAGTGTCGGTGTCCGCACAGAACTCAAAAACAAAAGAATCTGGATGAAAGGATCAGAGCGTCCGAACCACACTGAACGCCAAGCTGGAGTGCGAGCTCGCTCTGGCTGTAGTCAGTCAAATATGTATTTTGGCAGGGCAGTTACTGGACACCCAATACTTTTTTGGCAACGACCGCAGCTGTTTGTCAACGTGGGCCCTGTCTTTTTTCTGAATCTCGTCACTGATTCGCTCCAGCCCGACATTTGACCACTTCTGTGACTATACATGGGGTTCAGACGTCAGGAGGGGGCGGGGGTCAAGGGGGGTGTCACACCCCGCCTCTCAGACACACGTCCACTCCTATTTCCAACACCATTGAAGTGACAGGCAGGAAGTATCAATTCAGAGACGTAGTAGCTCATCTGAACGGTCGGTAATGAGCTGATGATCCTCGTGATGAATGAACCGCTGGAGCCGCGCACACTCATCACCACTGATACTACACACACGTTAACACTGAATCTGATGGGGGGGGGGGATGGGGGGAGGCACTTCCATCTCTGATGACCTCTGTGCCTCTAAATGGATCTAAATCAGAGCTCTGACAGTTTGGAGATTTCAGAATCTGACTTTAATCATTAAGATTTATTCAAAACATTAGTTGTTTAAGAATTCCAATTTTTTCAAACAATGATTCAAAGAAGACAAGACAGTTTCTTTTTCAGGATTCTGCCTTTTTCTGTCACTCCAGTGATATTCCGTACGACTCTGATCTAAGAATATTTCAACTTTATTTCCAACAAGCTTCAAGTCAAATCTCTGATGTTTCTTTTCCGTATGTAGAATAAAGCAGTTCCTTGAATTTATAGACAAGATATATACGTATGTAAATACAGTTACTTCATGGTTGTAAATATCTGACCTAAATCTTTAGAATTACAAGAAAAAAGTCCAATTTTTGTAAATGATTTCTGCGTCTCAGATTATCTCCTGAACCTTTTACACCACGGTCTCTCAACAACATTTCATTTCATCAGATCGTTCCCGTGGTGTTTTGTCAAGTCTGCTAATGCACGACAGCTCCGTTTGTACAAAACCAATAGCTGTGATTGGATAAGCCCTGGGTGAAAGTCCATCTCCATCCGATGGCTGACATGTAAGCCGCTGCGGCTTGTTTGTCTTCCAGGGATCACCGCGGCTGCTCCCGCACATACTTTCACATCCGAGCGGGAATCAGATAGGCTTTACTCTCCGCAGAGGTATATCAACAACCTTGTCCAACTCCTCTCTTAGTTAATACATGCCTGGGAGTTAGATCTCCAATGGGATAAAGTGCCGTACACAGTGGAAGACACAGGAGCTGCGGCATTCCAACAGGCCCCACGATGCATCGCTGTAATAGCTCAGCAGGCCACAGGCACGGCCGCAGCTGTCTCACACACACACACACACACACACACACACACACACAAACAGTGGACAGAACCAGTCAGTAAGAAGCCAAGTATTGACTGTTTTCTAGTGACTTTTTATACTTGGAAAATGTTTCCTGGAGGAGAAAAATGAAATATTGATGTGAAAAAATAGACCTGATTACATTTGATATTCATCACATATATATATATTTGTATATATACAGATAAATATATGTTTGTAATAGAATATTATTGTGAAATTTCTCTTCATTTTCACAGGCTCCTCTCGTAGCTTTGCTTCACTGTTTTTGTCCAGAGAATATTTTTGGAGTCCTGGTCAGAGAACAAGCAACACCTGCTGGACTCTGTCCAAGGACCTTGAGGCCACTCCTCCCCCCCCCCCCCCCCCCCTC